TATTCAAAGAAATAAAATATTAATTATACAAATGTTATGATAAATCAAGTCCCTGATTAAATTTTTTAGAGAAGTATATATTTGTAATCTCTTCTAAAAATAATAGCAGATAAATATTTTTTTGGTATGTATGTGAATTATATATATAGTATATATATTCTATATACTATTTGGCTAGTTAATATAATTATTTTTGACAAAGCAATTAATTTTGTATTTTTCTCTGGATTTAAGCATTGTATACTCCGTGATTATTTAATAAATTACAAGGGATTTCGATTTTTGTACATTTTTCACTCAAAATGATCACCTCACTCCTTAAAATATAATAAAAATAACAATCACAACTATGCAAGAAAAACAATTACATGTGATACCTATTAAGATGATTATTTTAAAATATATAATGTAACATTGTTGAGAAGTTTTTTCAATTTTTTGAACATATGTAAGAGTAATAAAATACATAATTAATCACTTGAATCACATAATTGCGTCGAGTTCGTACATTTTTACTTGAAAATAATATAAAAAATTGCGAAGAAGTATAGGATAATTTGAAACTCATTTCAATCGTTTGAGTTAAAATAATTTTAAAACTTTTGGATAAATCTCCACTATTTAAATATGTACTATCGAGAATAATCAAGAATTACGTGGACATGAAGAATATATACATTTAAAAGAATTATATTACTCTAAAATAACGTATGTATCCCTCAATAAATCAGTACCTTAAATAGTACAAACATTTATTTTGTAAAACAATAAATATTTATTATCTAGAATAAGGTAAATATGAAAAAGATAAATAATTTGAAAAATAAAACTTAAATTCATAAACTCAATATTCCCAGAACAATACACAAAGATAAAATCAATACCTTATATTATACATGCTTCCTAATTGTTTGAAAAGTTCCAGCTAATTTTCACATTCTATATGAACATCGTAATATATTTTTGCTTTTGTAACAGAGCGGATCCAATCATTTTGTTTCACTTACTTTAAACTGTTTTTAACCAATCATCACGCATAATACATTAATAATAATATTCTAAATATTTTGCTTTTTATTTTTATATAAATTGATGTAACATTGAATTGGAAACAATTTATGGCACTTGAGCATCTAATGAAAATAAATCAATCAAAGAAATTTTTTGTTAAACTTCGATATATAGAAGACTTGAACGAACCCGTTTTAGGAAACAATGTAACATATATACATCGATTTTCTTTGAAAAATTTGTAAAAGAATCAATTACTCATACTGAAGTAAAAATAAATAAATTAAAGAGAACAATCTCATTTGTATTATTAGAATCACTTTATTATCATGTAAAATAAAATATTCATATAAACTTGCCCCTATATTTTTTATCATTTAAAAGTAGATGTTATATTTTAAAAGATTATAATTTAATAATATTTTTATTGTTTAATATTTTAAAAATTAACTCAATTTACGTAATAACTCCTCATACTTGGGAACACATAATATATCATATAATTTAGTTTTAGCTTTATATGAACTAATAAGAATTAACTTTAAAGGATAGTAAGAATTTTTCAATTTGTTTAAAATGTTATAGATGTTTTAAAGCATAATACTAATTTTCTCTTAAAGTACGTGCCTTGTTTGTTATAGGGAATTGTAATTAGGAATAACTCTTTTTGATAGAAAATTATGGACAACAACAACAACCCAGTATAATTTCACTAGTGGGGTATGGGGAGGGTAGTGTGTACGCAGACCTTACCCCTACCCTGGGGTAGAGAGGCTGTTTCCAATAGACCCTCGGCATCCTTCCCCCACCTTGCTCTTGGGGTGACTCGAACTCACAACCTCTAAGTGGAGGGTGCTTACCATCAGAGCAACCCACCTGTTGACAAAATTATGGACGTGCTTCTTTTATTCAAATAGGATTGACATTGTAGGGTTGGCAATATGTGTAGTTTAAATCGAAAAAGAATTTCATTATTAGGTAATTTACTATTAGATCCTTAAATTATACAAATATTTAAGGGCATAAAAGTCGATCAATATTTCAGGGATATTTTAGTCGTTCAACATTTAGCATAAATTATTCGTACTTTTATTCAACATTTAGCATAAATTATTCGTGCTTTTATAATAATATAAATATAGATATAGATAAATTATTATTATTATTACTATATTATATTATATTATGATGTTGGTTATAATCCTTCTCCAATATATTGTAGATTTCGAGATTTATATTTATATTAGCATTTGTAAGAAGCTTACTTTTATTGGTCATCTGAATGGTATCTTTGAAAACTTAGTACTTTCTGCATCGGATCTCATCATTTTTATGCTAGATGTAGTGGTAATTTTACGGTAAAGATTTACCCACATCGGATGTTTAACATCAAATCATATTAATTTACTACGGTGAAGAATATCTATTAATTCACTATGATACAATGATTAGAGTGGTATGTGAAGACATAATTGATAGGGGTATCCAATTGAAAATATTGCTGCATCATATTTGTTGTGTTGGAGCAATATCTACCCGGATGTTTTTATAATTGTTGTGTTGCTTACTGCAATATTTTGTTGGTAAGTCTCGGTTGACAAGTTTAAGGTGAAGCTAAATAGAAGCTATTCCATATCTCGTCAAATTAAAAAATGAGGGAAGAGAAAGTGAAAACTTCATCTGTTTTCTTCTTCTTCTTCGTTTTATTTTTCTTCTTCTTCTTCTTTGCCCTTTGAAGATGAGCAAGCCAATTGATCAGCTCTTCGCAGCTGAGTCAAAGATGGGCCAAATAGGATCATAAGTCGGTCCACCCTAATCAAATAATGTTTAGATTCTTTGTTTATTTCTTATTATGAATTTTCAATTACGAAATAAAATTAATCATTTTTTTCCTTATTATGACTATATCTAACATATTTGACGAGCGCAAAACACAACACGAAATTAATGCTCGCTAGCCAAAGATAGTATAGTTTAATTATCGTCTCCACATGGATTGAATTTAAACAATGTTCAAGTAATTTCTAACTTAAATGCTATTCAAGATGATCAACACTTGATTTGAGGTAATTACAAACTACAATTAACTACTAAATTAAGAGTACGATTAATGGAAATTGATCACAGAGAGTGAGAGTTGAACTAAAACGGATTGTAAGCAATATGAGAAATAAAGGCCACGACAGGATAAGTGTAAGATAGCTATTCGGGATCTAACTCTGTTTAAATTCACTTCTAATGTTCTAATGATTCTCATGAATTCACTCGATGATTGGCTTAAACGTAAGGTTAAGATTCCTCTCTCGATTAAATCTGAACTCTACAAAATAAATCAATATAAAGCACTGTGAAGATATGCAAGAATACATTAATGGATGAGTCTTTAGGAAAACGTCTATCGAATATTCTTCTAACTTGGTTTAATCAATAATTAAAAAAGCTCTCTCAATTACTTAGAAGAATCACTAAATTAAACCAAACCAAATAATGCAAGGATAATCACCAAAATATTCCTCTTTCGATTAAACCTGCAGGTGAATAAAGTTGCAAACAATTCAAAGCTCCATAAACGTAATCACACAATTAAACTGGAGTTAAATCTATAAATATCAATCAAAATACCATATCCGTCAAAACCCTAGGGAAGAACTACTCCATAGATATGGAGAAAGTCATCACAAATAAGTTTAAGAACATAGAAAATATCAAAGACAACTTTACAATACAAACTCTCATTTTGCACCGATTATTGACAAGGTGGGTTGCTCTGATGGTAAGCACCCTCCACTTCCAATCAAAAAGTTGTGAGTTCGAGTCACCCTAAGAGCAAGGTGCGGAATTCTTGGAGAGAAGGATGCCGAGGGTCATTTGAAAACAGTCTCTCTACTCCAGGGTAGGGGTAAGGTATGCGTACACACTACCCTCCCCACACCCCACTAGTGAGATCTCTAAAACTCTCCTAGGTCGAATTCTCCTTCAAAAACGTGTTTCCAATGTATTTATATCCAAGTAGGAACGAATCGGGATGAAACTACACTCGGTGAACCGAACTGGAATAACTGTACAAAAAAAACAACTGGCGCGGCTGGCGCCTCGCACCCCGCGCCACCTCATGCGCCGCGTATGTGGGGAAGTTCAGAATCTTGGTTCAGTTGATTTCTACTGTTGTTTTCATTGCCGCGTCGCATTGTGAGGCGTTAGAATAATTGTAATTCTTCTTCTGCCTCTCTCCTTTGTCTCATGTGATAAAACCACTTCATTGGATAATTTGGTAGGCATAAACAAGGCATTTAATTGGATTTTTTTCCCAAAGGCATGATCTGTCGGCCATTGGCCTTTGAACATTTTGCTTCATTTTTCCCCGCACATAATTGATTTTCGATATTCGATTCCGGCTTAACTTCAAATCAGCTCAATATTTTGACTTGTGCTTACTTAAATTGATCTATCATATATTTTCATGAGTTAATTTTGCTATCCTAATATGCATTAGGTAAGCGTAAATTCATTTTTGTGTTAGGAGGCTCAAATATACTCCACTTTTACAAACTAAAGCAACTATCGGTGCACTTCTTATATATAAAGGGCCATATTAGGTCTACCTCCAAAGATTAAGAGATCATTTGAGAAAATTAATAATGAACGATTGTCAGTTAAGTATGAGGTTTTGCGTGGAAGAATTATTTGTGAAAATTAAGGATTCACAAAACCTCATTTGAGATACATAATCATACCACTATCTCAATATTCCACAATTATTTCACTTGAAACTCAAAACTTCACGACCAAATACTATACAAATAATGACTTAAATTTTAAAAATATTGAAATAGTAACGAGTATTTTATTTTATAAATTTGAAGGACTACTTACTATGTATACCCGAAATATAGAGGACTACTTTGTTTTCTGTATGTAGCCGAGTAGCCGACCGCCTCAAAGGCCCAAGAAGCCACATTATTATATTATATATTATATATATACTCCGCTCCCTTTCGATTTTCTTCTCTCCCATATTTGGGGCTTTCTCCCAAAACCTCTCCACTCTCATCCGATTAGGGTTTGACAGTCATGGCGAATCGCACCGATCCACTGGCAAAGAGCATTAGGGGAACGAACCCACAGAATCTGGTGGAGAAAATTCTCAGGTCCAAAATATACCAAAACACCTACTGGAAAGAACAATGTTTCGGGTTGACAGCAGAAACCCTAGTCGACAAAGCCATGGAACTCGATCACCTCGGTGGTACATTCGGCGGCAATCGAAAACCCACACCCTTTATATGCCTTGTGATGAAGATGCTCCAAATCCAGCCTGAAAAAGACATAGTTGTGGAGTTCATAAAAAACGAAGATTACAAGTATGTTCGTGCTCTTGGGGCTTTTTATTTGCGGATTACGGGTACAGATATCGATATTTATCGATACCTTGAGCCTCTCTACAATGATTATCGGAAGCTCAGACGTAAATTAGCTGATGGGCGTAAGTTTTTCTTGCCCTTTTTGGTTTTGTTGGGTGATTTAAATAAAACTATGATTATTTGAGTCCTAATTTTTTTTTCCTGGTTGTGGCAGAGTATGCACTGACACACGTGGATGAGTATATTGACGAGCTTCTGACGACAGATTACTCTTGTGATATTGCTTTGCCTCGCATCAAGAAAAGGTTTGTAAAAAAAGTGGACTAATTTACCTAACTCTTTGTTCACCTAAATGGACGACCATAAAATTATGCACAACATGATTAATTTTTTGAATATCCAATTAGCTTAGGTTGATTAGAAAAAAATAAAGACTCTACTTTGTAAATAAGTATGTAATTTTTTCTGGTTTAATTAGCCCCTACTTAAGCTTGCGTAGTGATGGATTATGTTGCTCCAAACAAGACTTGTGCTTCTAGGAGGGAGGCTGGTTGTTATGTTTTTGTTTGTTTATATTTTGTAATGGATGTTGTGCTGTCCTTTTCGCCATTTTCTGCTTCCTGATGACATTAGCAGTGATGGGGAGAAAGACTTGAGCCATTGAGGCCTATACATTGCAAGAATTTTGCTCAGTTCATTGAACACAATTACTAGGAGATCTAAGACAGCTTGTATCAGTTAAGTTGAAAGTTCAATTTGCTTAAGATGATAACACAGAGGAAAATTATAATGAGCCCAAAACACATTGTCCAGATCACAAAAATATCAATTGGAAAGAGAAAACTTCCTTGATCATCCAATATTAAAAAACTCTGTAATTGTCTATGTTGTCAGGTGTTTCTCCTTTTTTAAAATTTTTTCTTTTTTGCAGTGTTCGTGATGTTAGATCTCTCTCTTTGCTGTTAATGCCTCCAAATTATTTTACAGTGCATGCACCTCTAATTCTCTATTTTTTTCTCTACTCTTTATGTGTGTGTGTTCTTTTAGTTTCTCATGTATCATGTGTTGACACTAGATCGCAATTGGAACATAATGGACAGCTGGAACCTCGGAGAAGTGCGTTGGAAGATGACTTTGAAGAGGAAGAGGAAAAGGATGAGGATGAACCACTTGCCACTGGATTAGATGATGAGCATGAAAAGGTTAATTATTTACGTGCTTAGTTTTACATGGACATCTTTGTTTTAAGGCTTGATCCAGTATTCTGAGTCTTGATCTGTAATAATGCAGGATTACTATCGTGGGGGAAGTCCAACTAGGGAAAGAGATCGGGATAGAAGACGAGATAGTCACAGATACAGGTAGAGCTCAATCATCTGTTGATCTTTTTTCGTTACTGTTATTGGTTTTTTGGGTATGGTCATCTACTTCGTTAATTTGTGCATTGAGGCTTGGACTCTTCATTTGCCTCGACTGACTTGTGTGAAGTGGAGCACATGGATATGGGGTCCAACAACTGCAAATAACTCCTATTAGATGTGGAGTGTGACTGCTTCGAGTTGATACCATTACCCAGTGTTCATTTCAGAGCGCGTGCATCGTTATATATGATTTTAATGGTTTTGAAATGATTCAGAAAAACTGCAGCTTCTCAAGCTCCTGTTTTTGTGGGAGTCGTGTTGGGGGCTATCTGTCAGGGTTGAAGGTGGTGACCCTGACATAAACCTGGTTAAGTGAAATTTTGTTCACTATTTCATAGTATGTTGATTGCTGTTTGATTGGAAGCTGATTGTTGAAGTACCCAGAGATATTCTGGAACTATTACTCAAAGCACACACTTCGCAGGTTACAACCAATATGGCATTTTAGGCCTTTTGGTGATCAGCACAGCTTCCTATATAAAAAATATTGTGATCTTGCCAGGTTTCTCTGCACTGACAGTGTGCAGTTGAGAAGTATGATAGATCATACATTTCCACTGTCCAATTGTTTCAATTGGTAGTAGTGTAATTAGTTTGGCTATTTACTTTGTTAATTAATTAATCGAGTAGGAGGCTCTTGTTCCGAATTACACTGTGATTTTAGATTTCTGCAGTGGTAGTGTTATCGTATTACTTCTCAGTGGCCAAGCCATGAATAGAACATTACCTTTAACTTTACGATACAAGCCGCTATGCCTTTTCCTTTGTTGGGCTTGGTCTCCTTTTGTTTTCTGATTTGAACTTCTATGCCTTTTTTTTTCCAGGGATCGTGACTATGATAGAGATCGAGATTATGATAGAGACTATGACAGAGATCGTGATTATGACAGGGAACGTGGCAGACGTGACAGGGATAGAGACAGGGACCGTCATCGCCTCAGAGACGATAAGGACTATGGTCGAGAGAGGGATCGAGAAAGGGACAGGGAGGCCAGAGAACGTGATAGACGTGACCGTGAGCGTGGTCGACACAGGAGTTATTCTAGGAGCAGAAGTAGAAGCAGAGACCGTAAAGACCGTGATGATGATCGTCGTAAAAGGCATGCTCGCGGCAGTGCTAGTCCTGCTCGGGATGAACCCAAGAAGAAGAAGGAGAAGAAGGAGAAGAAAGAAAAGAAAGATGATGGAACAGATCATCCAGATCCAGAGATAGCAGAAGCCAACAGGCTTAGGGCGTCGCTTGGGTTAAAGCCTTTGAAGCTATGACCATGTACATCTGCGATTGTAGTTCTCAATATGTTTTGCTGATGTGTGGTCTTTAGGCCTTGTAGCACCTTTACTTTATTTCTTTTGCTCCTTTTTGGTGTGTACTAATCTACTATTGGAAGCTGCAGCTGCAGTTTTGTCTCGTAGTTCCTCTAGTATCATTAGCTGATGCTACAAAGTCCCAACAAAATAATATCATTTGAGTTCTGTTGATGATCTGAGAACTGCATATTTACGGTTAACTCCTACAGTCATGAAAACTTGAGGAAGAAGATTTGAATTGTCGTGCTTGCCCAGGTCCAAGGATGCTGATTTATGGTTTAACTCCTACAGTCTCAAAAAGCATGCACGGGGATATGAAAGAAGCAGGTAGACAATTACAACAAGGTCTTAACTTCACAAATGTACAGTGCACAAAGTTGCTGTTCAGCTGAAATTCTTACTTATAGATGAAAGAGTTTACCCTACCTAAAAATCTAAAATGTGCAGAAATGAGCCACACAATCTACTTTAGCATGCTTATAGCTCTTGATATGGAAGAACTTCTGGTAACAGAATGCCATTCTGATCGTAATGAAGGCTGCCGGATGCACTGAGCGGTCGACATTTCTCTCCCATAAGTATCCTTTTCTTGCATAATTCCAGTTCAACTTTCTCTTGTTCTTCATGTTTGCATTCTCTCCCCTGTTTCACCATTCTTTTGTGTATGGATTTCATGCTTCTAATGATGCAGTAACCAGTAGGCCTCTTGATTGATGCCCAGCTAATGGTTTTCGACATTTTCCCTGTCTCGGCATTATTAACAGCCCCATAGTCTGCACCTTCAAAGTCTGTTCCAGTATCTGCTTTGTTGGTCTTCCAATTGTTGAAGCGAAATCTAACCCTCGTGCTGATCCTGAACTTGAGCCCTGAAAGATTTCGGAACAAAATCCGTGGTTGCTTTCTTGTGCCAGTTGACGTTTCTGACGTTGCTTCATCTTTCTTTTTCATTTGCTTTCCCTTTGTATCTATGATTCTCATTTCCTTCTTGAATGAACATGACCTGCTCAATGTTAACCCCTCTACTGAATCTTCCAACAAAGTACTAAAGTTGCTGCCTTTTTTCCTGGAGACAATCAGCGCATCTCGTTCTTCTGCGCATTCATCCAAAGCGTCAACATTATCATTTCTGTCATTTTTAGAGATTTGAAATGGTTTCTTGTTGCGAGAACCATTACTGAAAATGGAACCAATTTCCTTTGGCAGAAGTTGTGCAGGTTTGGTCCATTTGATCATCTTGTTTTTCCCCTTGGGGCCATCCTCTTCAGTCTTTTGCATAGGGTTCCTGACATCAAGCAACTTGGGTAATCTCACTCTCACCTTTTGTTGCAGGGACATGGTAAAGCCATTGATTTGTGAATACCTTAGGAAAGAGCTGGGATTTTTCCATGTTCGAATACTATGAAAACTTCCCTTTTCCATCTTCATTTTCTTTGAAGAAGTTGGTTTTGCTCTTGCCAAACACAATGTTTCAATATTTACAAGAGTTGGGTTGTTTCTTCCCTTTTCCTTTCCTTTTCATTATTATTGTTGCTCCTACCTTCTTTTTTTCAGAAGACGTGGGTAATGGGGTTAGAGGAGTGTCCTATTCATATGCTAATGGTATCACGGATTTTGTTACTTTTCAAAATGATGCCCTCAATACTGCTTTCAAGATTAAGGTTATATTAGTAAAAGTACACTATGTAAAAGGGATTAAATGATGGAGTTAGTTACATATTTTCTCATCAAACTCATGCAAACGTGTAGTGATTGCTTATTTCACAACATGAGAATAACCTCTGCTCCCATTTTCTTCCCTAACGGCGGACTCGCTCTTTCTCTCTTCAAGGGGTAGTTAAGAAATAGCATTTGATTTCACACAATTAGCCAAAAAATAGCCAACAACTTCACTTTCGTTTTGTTTATCCATACCTTGTAAAACTCAATATGATGAAGACTTGAGACCCTAGAAGTTAGAACATAGATCAATGTGCAAAACAAAAATAAATTCGTTTCTCAAGCTCGTTAACTAACGAATATATTCAACTAGTGATGATTGGAGTACATTAATTTAATTTGTCAATGCACATTTGTAACTCTTTAATCTCTTTTTTTTCTTTTGAAATTTTTTTTTGTTATTCATGAACAAGTACATTTGGAGCATTTATAAAAACTCCTAATTGAAATTATGGCTTAAGAATGATGATAATATCACAGAGAAATAAGTCACGAGAATTTTTTGCGTCAATCATGTTATGTGCGTAATCTTACTTTTAAAATGGTTATGTATGTAATGTTCTTGAATATGACTATTCCTCTACCATAATTAATTTTTACTGTTTGAAATACGTTTAGGCATGGAGCTAAGCCACATTCAGAAGTATAACCGAGACAAATTATATCATACTTAAATAAATTTATATATAATATAATTAGGTAAAAATTCAATTAAACAAAACTGATAAAGGCGAGGACCATTTTAAAAGCCGAACTTGTAAAATTAGGGCAAGACAAACGAGAAGCAAATCGGTGGTTATTACTTGGTTCTAGAGCTGCCCAACGGGACGGGACGGGACTAAATAATCGGGACGGGGCGATATTTAACCGGGACGGTGGCGGGACGGGCCTTAACGGGACAGGATGGATGGGACGGGACGGTTCGTAGGTCCTAAGTGGGCCTTTTTTTTATATAAAAAAATAATTATTTAAGCATTAAATTTGGCAACGATTAATTTTTTATAGATAGAGACGGTTATTTTTTTAAAGTTGACAATAACTAAGTTTTTAAAGTTTGCAACAGCTAGTTTTTTGACTTATTAAATAAATTTAAAACTTAATAAATTATAAAGAAAGTTAGAAACTAAGTAAAGAATTATAAAATATTAGAATAAAAGACTTGTAACGAAATATTTTAGTAATTATAATACTTATAATTTATTTAATATAATTTCAAGCTATAAGGTAACTAAATAAGAGTGTAAGCCAATTCATAAAAAAAAAAAAAATCAAGGCTAAAGCCTTTTATTTTATTAATAGAACTTTCAAATTTCACATACAAATATAAGTCTTTTGAAGAACACATAATCTACGCAGCCACCTTCTAGAAAGGGTTCTGTTTGAACTATGCCTCTTAGTAGCCAATTATAAATTATCAAACTAATATTTGTAAGCTCCTATATAGTTTCGTTGTAACTTATCTATAATTTATCTCGGACATTGTTCTGGAATTGGCAATGTTGATTGATGTTCCATGAGTTCCATGTCGTCATCGTTCCCAGTGCTAAGTATCTCATTGTTTTCTTCTTCTTCTTCTTCCCTGGTGGTTAATTTTTCAAAATCATTATTTCTTCTTTCTAAATTAATCCAATCTCTGAATAAGATGAAAATCTCTAGGCTGACCTCCGCTAATGAATGTCTATGATCTCCGACTTGAAATTTTGCCGCGCTAAAAGCACTCTCTGATACTACTGATGATGCTTGAATAGCCAATATATCTCGGGCCATTATTGAAAGTGTTGGAAATGCCTTGCTACGCTCCCTCCACCATGCCAAAAGTTGTTCGTTGCCTTCTTCGTTTTTAATACATTCCAATCCCTGATTAAGATAAGAATCAATAGAGGAATCAAAACGTGTTATATCCTGCATACCTTCCCATAGAATTTCTACTCTAGCTTTAGAAGTAGTAGGAGCATTTTCACCACTTGTTGTTACCATAGATTTATAACTATCAAATATTGATCTAGCATAAGAATATATGTTAGTCTGGCAGTCTTCGAGAGATGGCTGTTCATTTTTTTGAATTCCTAAATTCTCATAAATTTTATGAACAAGTCCCTTTGCACCTCTTAATTTTAAAGATGGGTTAAGTAGAGTAGAAATTAAATAAACTTGGGGAATAGGGAAATAATACTTTTTAAATTTTGCAATCATTTCATTAATGACCGGTGCATAAGTTTGATTTGTTTTATATTTACCAAATACAACATAAATTCCACAAATATACCATAATATTTGTGTAATAATAGGATAATATATACGAAAAAATTATTCTAAAAATTTAGTAAGCTTTTTGAACTCATCCTAATCAGAATCAACAATTTGATCAGTGGGGATACCATTATGCATATTAAATAACTTTTGTATAGGCACCCGATAATCATAAGCAACCTTAAGCATTTCATAAGTAGAATTTCACCTAGTACAAACATCTTTTGGATTTTTTCTATATGGAAGGTTAGCACTAGTACATTGTTGTGCAAACTCGCGAAGTCTACTCGCTTTATTAGCACGAAAAATACATTCGCAGGCATGTTGTACTTTACTACAAGCCTCATAAAATAAATTAATACCATCTTTTACAACTAAGTTAAAAATATGGCATGCACATCTAACATGAAAAATTGCTGGATTAATTAGACAAAGTATAGCTTTTAAGTTATTTGCTGCAGTTGTGTTAGCATAAACATTATCTAATGTGATAGTTAAAACTTTATCAATGAGCCCATAAAATTCAACTATTTGTAGAACAATAGTTGCAATATATGCTCCAGTGCGTTTTGAATCAATAAATTTATAACCAATAATACGTTTTTGCATGTTTCAGTGATGATCAACCCAATGACATGTAACAGTTAAATAATCACAACCATTAGGACTACGACCTATATCAGATGTGATAGACACTTTACAATCTAAGTGAAAAAATACACAACGAATATATTTAAGTGAAACCAATAATACGTTTTTGCATGTTTCAGTGATGATCAACCCAATGACATGTAACAGTTAAATAATCACAACCATTAGGACTACGACCTATATCAGATGTGATAGACACTTTACAATCTAAGTGAAAAAATACACAACGAATATATTTAAGATATTCAGTTTGAAATTTAAATATATCATTTCTAACTGTGGTCTTAGGAAAATCTTGAAAAACATGATTATATATTTCTTGTATATAATGCACAAAAGCAGGGTGGGAAGGAAAAGTAAAAGGTAAGCCACAAACAACGATCATTTTTGCTAAATTTTCATGATCTTTATCTTTGTTATAGGGACGTAGTATACTACCAGAAGCAGGGTGAAACTGTTGTTGTAAAAAAATTAGAACCCCCACTAGATCCACTAGGAGCGCCAATACATATAACAAGTTCATTGACTTTATCATGTTTTAAAAAAATTTGATACACGTGACGTTTTGATACGTTCAACCTTAGCCTTACCCCTTACAGGAGTTACAAGGGGTAAAGCTCCAGACCGGGATTGACTCTGAGTTAGAGCTTGTGTTGCTGGACTAGTGGGTGTTTCATTTAATTCTTCTTCCTCATTTTCTTCGTCGTCAATAAAAATATTATTGCCAAATTGTCTTTGTAAAGTTTCATGATCTAGTTGTTCTCCCAAATTAATATTATAACATGCGGGGGGTTGGAAAAATAAAATTTCATCAACATGAGTCATTTAATCTATATATTTTCTAATTCTAGGAGAAGGATTAGGATTAGAATTACTACAACTAGCACCTTTACTACTTTTTTTCCTACTTTTTTTAAATATGCCAAATACACTTTTAGGAGGCATAATTTAAATACGAAATTAAATTAGAAAATTTAACACAAAAGTTAAACACACAAATAAAATACAAAAATAGAACGCGTAAAGTAAACACCAAAATTAAGTACTAAAATGATACACAAAAATAAAATATTAAAATTGGGAGATGGAACGAGTGCACCGTGATTAAATATTGAAACTTGAAGAAATTACCCAAAAAATTGCTCCAATACTTGACAAATTAATTTGAAGCTTGAAAGTTGCTCTAAATNAAATGATTGTTTATAGCCGTTGGCAACGACTAATTTTACAAAGAATACCGTTGCCCAACGACTCTTTTTCAAAATAAAAAATAAAAAAAATTATGCGGGACAGACGGGACGGGACGAGACATTAACGGGCCAGCCTACAGGGACGAAATGGGAACTGGGCAGTCCGTTCCATCCGGTATCCCGTTGACTATGGGCCCAGTCCCATTTAAGACAGAGTGGGCCGGGACGAGATCGGGATGGACCGGGCTGACCCGTTTCGTTGGACAGCCATACTCGGTTCTATATTGCTGAATGGAACAGAAAAACTCTGCCTGGCCCAAGGTACAAACCCGACCCGTATAAAGAGTGTATAGCGGTAAAACTAAAACCCTCCTTGTCCCCTAATTCTCCCGTTTCTGAATTCCCTTCAACTGAAAAATGAATTCAATGGCTGCTAAAATCGTCAAATTGTTACGCGTCTCTCCTGCCACAAGACCCTGTTCTTCTCTTGGTAAACAATCACACTTCCATTGTATTTATTCACTTTGTTACTGATTCTTTTAACATAGTACTGGTTATATTGAAGACATAGGTTCGTAAAAGAGGATTTTGACCGAACAGTTGATGTCCATTCTGAAAAAGTAGTTTTCTTTATGATAATGTTTTTTTTTTNACCCTGTTCTTCCCTTGGTAAATAATCACACTTTCATTGTATTTATCCGCTTTGTTTATTACTGATTCTTGTAATGTAGTACTGGTCATATTGAAGCCATATGTTCGTAGAAGGGGATTTTGACCGAACAGTTGGCGGGCATTCTGAAAAGGTAGTTTTCCTTATGATAATGGTTGTTTCATTGCATTTTACAGTGATGGGTGTGCAAGGAAGCTCTAGGTTGTGTTATTCAACTGGTACATTTCTTAGTGATGACGATGCGCCTGTAAGTAATACTGAAGCTGTAGAAATTGATGATGATGATTTTCTTCCTGAAAAGCCGGATTTGCAGCTGCAAAGTGTGGATCCTAGAAAGGGCTGGAATTTTCGGGGTGTGCACAAGGTATGTGCTCTTGTTGAAAGCCCTATAAGCGTATTGAAGTTGAGCCATAACTGCATTGTGTACACGTAGAAGTCAAAGAATGAATGACAAGAAGGCTAACATGTTGTACAAGTATATGTTAGTTTTTTGAGCAATTTTCTACTCCTATTTGATTAGACTGTGTTCTTTAAGTGTTTAATTTTATTTTGTTCCATTATCTTATTACACTGGCTTTTGTTTTGCTCTTTGATCATTCTGAGTTTGCACTAAAAAATTGTTGCAACCGACTCCATATGAGGCTTGGGTGCATAGGTAGATCTAGAATTTAACTTGATAGGCTTCGACCTTTAAGGGGTCGTTTGGTAACCGTGATAAAGGATACTAATCCCTAGATAGAATTTGAGATTGTATTTATCCCATGTTTGGTTATGGGTTTTAGCTAAAATAAGTATAAATTTTATACCAATATGATGGTATTAATTATCCTATATAGAAGGTGGGATAGCTAATCCCATGGAATATCCTTGTCTATCCCACAATTGAACTAAACGACTCTTAAGGTTCTTAGCATTGAACTCATTGTACTTTTAACAGTACTGGTTTAGATCTAGTATTTGTTGAAATTTTAGTAGGTTTTCACATGAAGGGGAGCCTTGGCCTAACTGATAAAGTTGCTGCCATGTGACCATGAGGTCACGGGTTCAAGCCGTGGAAACAACCTCTTGCAGAAATGTAGGGTAAGGTTGCGTACAATAGACTCTTGTGGTCCGGCCCTTCCTCGGACCCTGCGCATAGCGGGAGTTTAGTGCACCGGGCTGCCTTTTTTTTAGCAGGTTTTCATATATATATATATCTATGTTCCGCGTTGGAGATATGATCCTGAAGAGCTGCATTCGCATTGCTTGGCTAAGTACAACCTTTTGGTAGAAATTAAAAGGAACTTGGTTGAGAATGAAGCTATTTTAGTTAAAGATATATTTGACACAGGAATGATGGAAGCTGGGTTGCTCTAGTGGTGAGCACCCTCCACTTCCAACCAAGAGGTTGTGAGTTCGAGTCACCCCAAGAGCAAGGTGGGGAGTTCCTGGAGGGAGGGAGCCGGGGGTTTATCGGAAATAGCCTCTCTACCCCAGGGTAGGGGTAAGGTTTGCTTACACACTACCCTCCCCAGACCTCACTAGTGAGATTATACTGGGTTGTTGTTGAATGATGGAAGCTGGAGTTGAAATGCGATTTATGAACAGTGTTTTTGTTTGAGAAATCCCATAGCCAAATAAAAGAAACTGTTAGATTATTTATTTTGGTTTCCTAACCAAAAATGTTAAAGATGTGGCATATTTTATCTTTTCAATTTTTTGTTTGTTTTGTTTTTCGGGTAACTGAAAAACCAATTTAAAGGCAGGATAATTTTTTTGACAGGCTATTATATGTGGCAGAGTTGGGCAATCTCCTGTGCAGAAAATATTGAGAAACGGCCGAACTGTAACTATCTTCACAGTTGGAACAGGTGGCATGTTCGATCAGAGAATCACGGGAGACAGAAACTTGCCTAAGCCTGGTCAGTGGCATAGGGTCGCGGTGCACAATGATATGCTTGGGCAGTACTCCGTTCAGCAACTTACCAAAAAGTAAGCACCTTTTTTCCCGTCTATATACCACATTTTGTTTCTCGTTTATTCTCTAATGTATATGTTCTATCAGCTCCTCAGTCTACATTGAGGGTGATATTGAAACCAGAGTCTATAATGATAGTCTCAGCGGTGAAGTTAAAAGCATCCCAGAAATTTGTGTGCGCAGAGATGGTACGTCCTTATGTTTATTGTAAGCACACGTGGTTTGTCATATTTGAAGATGTGGGTGTCTAACATTGCATTGAATGGTACTCCTTGCACCCTATATTATGTGAAACACATATTTAGATTTTTTATCAGACTAGCATGATTTACTTATACTTGTCGAAGGAAAGATTGTTTGAGGAAGAACATCAAATAATGTTTTAGCCATGAATATGTTTTTTATCTTTGAATTTTGAATGTTATAGGAGTATATTCTGAGGTGTTGTCAAATCTTGTATGGTGTTACAAGATGGAGATGCATTACTGAAACTTTTGGATAAAAGGAGTGTTAATTTGTCACGGTGTCCTGCGCGTTAGAGCTGCCATTCATTATATCATCTTATATCTTTTTCCCTGTTCATAAGTTTTGGTAACCACAGATTAGAGTAAGATAGTAGTTATTTTGGGAATTAAAAGTTGAACCATTCCATCAATCTGGATACTTTGGACTGGTACAAGTAAAATAGAAATCATAACATTGAAATCGAGTTAGAGGGAGTAAATGTGCTAATCAGCTTTTGAGATGTTGCTCTGCCTTAGATTCTGTATGTGATCGCCTAATAGTTTCATAAATATGAGATAACCGACTTAAACATATACTGCAAAATAATTATTTAGTATTACTATTGTTATACATAGCTGGCACCTGCTGCTGCTGTATTATTGTATGAAGAACTGCATTGTCAGTGAAACGGATGTTAAAAGCATCTGATGTTATACAATTTTTTCACAGGGAGGATTCGGCTTATAAAAGGTGGTGAAAGTGTCAGCAGTATCTCTATTGATGAGCTCCGTAAGTTTTCTTCTGTTATATAAAATTGTTTATTCTTCCTTCTCAACAAAAAAATAAAATTGTTCTTGAAATTTGTGAGCTTTGGGCTATAGTACCAGATTTATTTCCTAAATCAGATCCCCTTTGTCACGTTTGTTTTTCATGAAATATTGGTTCTTCCCATCGGTTGCTTTTATTGGAATTGTACTTTTTTCTGTTATTGGCAGGAGAAGGATTGATGTAGAAGCTCATTGGTAAATTATCCACATATAGTAGGCGGTTGGGAGTGGAAGGTGGAGGAAGCAGCTGAGGAGTAACGTGTTGTTTGAAATATATTCTGCAGTGACACAAAAGTTTTTTCTATTCCATCTGTCACTTGAATAATGTCAGATATTAGTTTGCCCTCAACGACTATTGTCCATCTTCTCTCGCTTGTATTTTGTTCAGAAGCAGGAAGAGATGTCCCTTTTGGATCCACATTATTTAGTGGGTAGTTGCTTCATTCGCCAAAAGCTGTGCAAGATGTTGTTCAAATGATTGAAATAACTAGGTGTAACTGTGAAAGAATAGGTGTACAAGTGGAATGAAGTGGTGGCTACTCATTCATAGGTAATCTCTTATCCACTTCTATTCTATGAAGTTAATACTATGGTACTAGATGGAGTGTTAAAACTTTCTGTTTGTAAATCTGCAGCATCGGTAGACTTGTTTTTGGCCATTTATGGTAGCATACCCTTTTCAGATGATCGACAATGGCGTATATACTAGTGTAAATTTGTTTCTGCTTCGCCCATGGCTCACCGTAAACTCACAGATCTTTCTATCTTCTTCACTTCTATCTCAATCTCAGCCTTTCCACGGCCAACTACAATGAAAAGCTTCTTCCTTCCGGAGAAAGCCTTGCTCCAATTTCTCTTTTGTGACAGCAATAGAAACTTAGTTTTCCTGATCCATCAATTTCCTCTGTTACTTATTTATCATGTTTCATGAAAATAGCATATAGCCTTCACACACGCGTAAGAGAAAGGTAGAAGTTAAAACTGGATTTGGATGTTAAAACTATATTTTGAGGTTGGTTATTTCTCATTCTCCAGAAATATGGGGCCATATCTCAGTTAAGCTTTTCTACATATAGTATAGTCTTCTAGTCTAGGGAATAATTCGAAGGGCCGTTACTGAATCTGTATTTTGTTTTTTGGTGCCCATAATTTCTGATTTTCATAGCTGCTATTGCGAGGATCCGCTGGAACAAATAGAAAAACAAATTAGTGAATCTGTTTGCAGTAAATAAACATAGATCACATTCTCTGCTTTAGAAAATTACATTGTGCTTGCTTCTGTGTGCGTTTTTTTTTTTTCAATTACTTTTCTGTCTCTGAATCTGATTGCCTGTTAAAAAGTTGTAGGTTTTTATTGATAGGTTGTGTTAGAAGCAGTATGATCGCTGACGGAACATATTGAGGTTGATATTTTCCTTTTTATATGGTATGGATTCAACTGAATTACAGTAATTTTAATAAGGAGCTTATTTTAATAAGTATTATATTTTGACCCCATAATTTAAAAGTGTAACGGGGTTCACTGACTAAAACATAAATATTAAACCCATCAAATTAAAATTTAGTATCTTCTTTGCATGTTTATCGCCATTGCCTCCTCACTTTTCTATGAAGTTCAATATATGTTTAATTTCCAAATCGGTCACTTTTGCACATGTATAAAAATGTCTCCAAAATAATGAAGTGGCAAGGGTAACTTAGTGATAAATCATGAAAAGTAAAAGACAAATGTATACGTAAAATTTATTCTAGTATCCACAAAAATTTAGCTATATATATGTTAAATTACGAAGGTGTATATTTGGTTCAGTTTCTAAATTAGCTTTCCCCCCCTCTTTTTTATAGTTTGGTTTTAATACCAAATAAATGATATTACCAATATTTTTCAATTTCACACAGAATCTTATATTACTCTAAAACCCTACCACGCCTTGGCCTAAGAAAAGCATTTAATTCTACGAAATAGGAATCTCCTGTCTCTATAAAACCAAACGGTTGTGAATGTACGACTAATGGAACACTTCCACTTTTAACATTTCTATCCTGTTCTGGATTTTTTTGGTTTTCCTTCTCTACTCGTTAGGGTCCGACTAATCCGAATTCTTGTCGGAAAGACCAATTTCAAGCAGCGGCGGAGGTAGAGTGTAAGGACCGGGTTCGACCGAACCCAGTAACTTTGATTCGAACCCTGTGTTTGTCTTACAAAATTCATTGAATATATATAAATAATTAATTTAGAACTCAGTAACTTTTAACGATTAGAATTCCGAACCCATAAGCTTGAAATCATGACTCCGCCTCTGATTTCAAAGCTAGTAAAGTGCTTCATATCAAAAGTGTTTTTATTTTCAGGATTGGAAACCAACATTTCTTGTTAAAAATGAAGGAATGTTATAAGAAAAATCAAATTATGGTGGATGTCTACTCTTCCTCGATGATCTTCTCAAATGTTTAATGACATATTCAATGACATATTTCTATGCTTAATGACATATTCAATGACATATTTTTCTTCACTTTTCATGCCTGTATAAATGCCTTGTAATAGATAGGAAAATATATACAATTGAAGAAGAAAATCTCTTCTTTCTCTCTATCTC